TCTCTCTCTCTCTCTCTCTCTCTCTCTCTCTCTCTCTCTCTCTCTCTGTGTGTGTGTGTGTGTATAGCAATGCCACTTGTTGTCAAATGAAGATACATAAAAATCATTATAACAAGAGTTTAGGTTTCATTGGCTTGAGGAATCCAACTAACAACTTCTAGAGTCATTAGCGAAAACAATGAATTAGTAAGGGTTTCAATGTCTATGGGGTACTGAAGTTCAAATCCTGAGTCTTGTGCATGTTAAATGTGCTCTATCACTGAACTTCCTGCCCTGCCCTTCGTGAATTTTCACTGCAATTCAACTCAAACTACAAGAACAGAAAATCTAAACAAAAGAATACAAAGATAATCCAAGCTTTCAATATAGAATTTAAACTCTATTTTTAAATTTAAATAGAATTTAATATAGTAAATTTAAGTCTATTTTTAAACTCTCACTACTCAGTTATTAAAAGATGAACAACTCAAACAAGCAACTACCAGAATAGATATTTTCTGAAGAAGATATACCAATGACTAGTATGCACTTGAAAAACTATACAACATCGCTCATCAAATAAACATCACAGCAAGACATTCAAAACTACTAGGCAAGGACCAAAAAGAGCCAGATCAGTGTTGGGAGGCTGTCATAATTTTGAACCCTGACACACAACTGAAGAAATGGAAAATGCTGCAGCCATTTTTGAAAACATCCTGTCAGCTTTTCAAATGGGCAAACATAGAGCTCATCATGGGTTAAGCAATTCAACTCCTAGAGAAACAATGTATGCCCTCATAAAATATATACGTGAGCTGGGCTGTGGTGGTGCTCACTTTTAGGGACCCAGAGGTGGGTAGATCTGAGTTCAAGGCCAGACTGGTCAACAGAGCTAGTTCCAGGACATCCAAGGCTACACAGAGAAACCCTATCTCAGAAAACCAAATGTGTGAGTACATATATGAATCTTCATAGCTACATTATTTGTGAAAAACAAAAGGGTAGAAACATTCCAAACGCCCAAATAAACACGAGCCTGTTATATCTAGGAAAAGTAATGAAATACTGGCACACACTAGAATTTGGACGAATCTTTAAACCAACAGGGAAAAGGAGGGAAGCTGACCAGCCTCAGAGGTCCACATATTCTGTCATTCCATTCGTATGTAAGTCTA